ATGAATTTGATGAAGTTAAACCATGTATTTAATCGTAAATTTTATTTACAATATGTACAGACAAGAGTAATGTTTATTTTTGAAAAAAAATACTTTTTCTTCAATCAACCCCACTGAGCTTTCAACCTTTGATATTTTCCCTGACCAAATAAAATGATCGGCATGGGCCACGTGTGTCCAAGCATCTTTTACTGTTAAGTTAGCAATGGATTACATGACTTCTGAGATGCATTTTTCAATAAAAGTAAAATAGGATAATTCTTTCGACATGTGCACATTCCTGTAACGATAGCAGTAGTCAGGTAAATGTTTTTTATCACTGCGTTTGACGCGTTTTCTCGTCCTGCATGGGTGTTTGATGTACATGTAAGTATTCCGTGTTAGATTATTTTCTATATTGCAGCAAATGCATTCAAAAATAATTTAATTCTCGGTATAGTTCTATTTTTTGTTGAATTTTTACTTTTCAAACATGTATTTGGTAAGTTTATGGACTTCTAAAAACTTTGTTATCGGAGATGTGTACATGTCGACAGTCAGGCTAGAAAATCACTCAAGTGAAGCAATCATACAAAGCTATATATAGCAGGTACAGGTGACCAAAAATTTTCAATTAAATATGGCGGAATCGAAGAAATATGGCGGACAAAGGCGTACAGGAATGTAGTAAGTCGTACAAAGATGAAAAATGATGACTTTTTAAGAGTTCATGTCAGCTTTAACGTTTAAATTACAATATTTTTTATTAGCTGCCCGCGTGGCGCATTAGAAGGGCGTCTGCTCTTGTATCGCATAGTAATGAGTTGTTTCTTAAATTAGCCGGTTCGACTCCCACTGTGGGAGTTGGAGAAAGGCCCTTCGGGTGATACTGTATAAACCGAGGTCCCGTGTCGCAGTAGATGCTGGCACGAAAAAACATCTCCTGCTCAATGGCCAATTGCAAGAGTGCCGAATATAGGTTAAAAATTTGCACCTCTCCGCGGTCAAGTGGTGGCGTTTCCATATATGTGAATCGTTCTTGACAGGGACGTTAAACAATTGAAAAACAATAAATTAAGAATTTGTACGACAAGAGGCTCACGGGCCTTATAGGTCACCTGAGTATCGTGTAACAAATTTCAAACAATTAAAATTGGCCATGAAATTCACAATTCACAATTTTGAAAGAGGCACCATGGCTTATCATAATTATAAACCTAGCATGCTTACTCTATTTACTTAATACCCAGAGGCAGATAAAAGTAACAAAGAGAAAATGCACTTCCACTTTATAACCAGTTGTGCACCTCACCCCAAAGGAACCACTGACTCTGGGGCCATATATTTCAAAATTTTGCAAATTTTATAACAAAACAGTTGATTAATACTAAAGAGCAGATTTCGAAGCATTAATTTATTTTCAGACTATGTAACCCCCCCCCCCCCCAGGGGGCATTAAAAAATAACGATTTTGCTAGATGCACCTTTCTTCATCATAAATAAAATTATATATATATATATATATATATACTTGGATCATTGGCATAAAACCCAGGAGCAAAGGAAAAGATTTTCAAAGAATTAATACCAGAGTACCAGAACCCCTGACCATGGGGCCATAAAATTCACAATTTTGGAAGAACTCTTGCTCATCATACATGTAACTATGTGCTTAATTTATTTAATACTCAGGAGCAGAGAAGAAGATTTTCAAAGAATAAATGCATTTTCACTATATAATCAATAGAGCCCCACCCTAACACCAGAACCCCTGACCCTGGGGCCATAAAATTCACAAGTTTGGAAGAAGCACTCTTGCTCATCATAACTATGTACTTAGTTAGTTTATTTAATACCCAGTAGCAGAGAAAAGGTTTTTTAAAGAATTAATGCATTTTCACTATATAATCAATAGAGCCCCGCCCTGACACCAGAACCCCTGACCCTGGGGCCATAAAATTCAAATTTTGGAAGAAGCACTCTTTCTCATCATAACTATGTTCTTAATAAGTTTATTTAATACCCAGGAGCAAAGAAGAAGATTTTCAAAGAATTAATGTATTTTCACAATATGATCAATAGAGCCCCACCCTAACACAAGAACCCCTGACCCTGGGGCCATAAAATTCACAATTTTGGAAGAGGCACTCTTGCTCATTATAACTATGTACTTAATTATTTTATTTAATACCCAGAAGCAGAGAAGATTTTCTAAAAAATAATGCATATACACTATATAATCTATATAGCCCCACCCTAGCACAAGAACCCCTGACGCTGGGGCCATGAATTTCACAATTTTGGAACAAGACTCTATGCTTATTACATTCATGCCAACAGTTTGCCTGCTTGATGTCCAGGAGTAAAGAAGAAGATTTTTAAAGATTGCAGTAATTTTGGTGGTTTTGGCCCCATCCCTCAGGCCCCAGGACCATAAAATTCATAATTTTTGTTTCCCTTCACCCATAGATGTTGTATACCAAATTTGTTTGAAATTGGTTCAGTGGTTTCAGAGAAGAAGCAGAAAATGTTCAAATGTTAACACACGACGGACGACGAGGGACGAAAACGGATAGCAATTGGTCACCTGAGTTACTCAGGTGACCTAATAAAAGTTGATGAACCACGGAGAAAGTAAAAATCACAGAACTTGAAATTAAACTCGGCTATAATCAACTAAATTATCCGCCCTAATCAGTCACAAAAAACCTATATAAAAGTTCTTTTTTTATTTTGTTCCCATCCACAATTAAAAAAAAAAAATCAGAAACACCAGTGGTAAAGCATGGAACTCTAAAACCTATCAAGAAATGTCAAAAGTTCTACAAAATTACTTAATTAAATTTATATATACATGCAGTAAGCGGCAAACAAAGAACCGACGCCATTTTTTTTACAAGTCACTCTACCTTTCAACAAAATAACACATATTCAGTCAGAAAATGACCTGATCGTCGCTGTGATACATGTCTGTATGTAAGATAAGGTATCCTTTTTAAAACTGAAATTCAGAGACTTTAAAGTAGATGCAAAATAATTAATATGTCTTTTGATTTTAGAAATGTCATATCTTGCAAAACCTGTTGAGGCTGTTGTCATTTTTATATCTGGATATACTCCCGATATTTGTGTTTGAGTCGGCATACAGCATAATATGGACAAATCAAAGCTTATAGTGAATACTACGAATATATCTAAAACTTTGCAGCTATTAACATTTTACTGTGTTCAAACTGTTTACAGACAGCACAATAGAAAGAAAGGAATAAAAAACGTATTTCTTTAAAACTAAAATATTAATGCCGATATTTCTTTGTTGGCAACGTCATTACAATACCAATTTAACTTTATTTTGGTTGTAACACGTCATTTGATTGCGAAAAAAGTTCATATTAAATGTCTTATAACCTATGTTGCTTAGGTCATGACTTACATAAAAACGTATCAAACCGCTTGACGCTTTATATTTGTTTACAATGATATTGAATTTGCGGTGAATTAGGCGAAGAGGACAAGATAGATAATGACCCGTTTTTGGCCCCTAATTTTGGGTGTCTTTCAGATTGACGTAACAGTTTATTCATAGATAGAAACCTGTTGTCATCCCTGCCACAAAATGAGCATTGGTTCTAAGTTTTGAAATATGCAGATGTCACAGAGAGGTCACAAAATAGGTCAATTTTCGAATTTTCATTGATATTACAGAACAATTTGTTTCGGAAAACAAAGAGCAAAAGCTTGACTATCTACCAAATTTATATATATTTCATCAACTATTATCAGATGCAGTTTATTTGTAAAAATCACAGATAGGCAAACTTGTGCTCTGTTTTCTGAAGAGAAAAGTATCCAAAATATGATGAAATTCTACCAAAATTGAGAAAATTCGGAAAAATGTCCTACCTCTGCACCCTCTAATGGCTTCCATGTAAGTTTTGAATCCGAATTAGTGCTGGTTTTAAAGCAAGCATCAATTTTAGTTCTTAACTACAAACTATCACAATTTTACCAATGCTCTTATTTTTGCATCAAATAAGGGACCATATTTGACCTTTACCCTACCTTCAGAGTATAAGTGCGATTATTTCTAATTGCTTGACATGCAGTTTTATATGGTTATTGAACTTATATTGGTGAATATTGGCAGGAGTTGGCTGTACACATGCACGAGCTTGCGAGTGGCATTGGCAGGATTTGGCTGTACACATGCACGAGCTTGCGAGTGCAGTTGTACAGCCAATGAGTGCCAATATTCACCAATATAAGTTAAGTAACTCCTTTACTATATAGCTAAAACATTTACTCATAATTTATAATAATTATTCCAACTAAAAAACTCAGATTAATGATTTTTTAGTATCAGATTTCAAATTTATGCCTGTCCTGTAAGTGTTCAATATCGCATCATTCCGATGACCCTACCGAGCGTTGCGATTTGCTTATTGAAGTTTTAATGGGTCTAATACGTACTAATTTTTAAATGAATAATTTCATTATTGTGTAAAAAATAAATAAATCTTACCTAGATGCCACTTCCTTTCTTTAACTCTGAGAATTTGAACAGACGACTTTTTTGCTTACAAAGGAGCGTTCGACATTGAACGCTCGTATTCGGAATGTTTCGGGCATACTCGTATACGTAATACAAACTCAGCGTTCAATAAAACGTCAAGATATTGAACGCCAAAATTCTTTAGATTTTTGGTAGTATTTTATTAGAGACATTTATTAGCTATATAATAAATGACATTATTCACTCATTAGGGCTAGCAAGAAGTTAAACCTTGATAATAGTCAAACAGGTGTTCTGTACTTTGGTCAGAAAAAAGTGTTACAGCTTTAAGAATGGGGTTGAAACACTACCATTGTGTTTAATAATTAATATAAGAGCCTAAAAACTTTTGATTCCAGTTCAAATACTCTTAAACAGAGATAGAGAGACATAAATTATAAATCTACATTAGTTAAAATCAAAATGTACTTATTGGTATCAGATAAATTATTATAAAAGTAAAACTCACGCTCAAATCCCAACATGGATACTGTTCTTGGTCAATGGATGCTACTCTTTTAACATACTCCTTGACATGTCGTGTTGACATAATGTTGTAGAATTTCTTGAATCCTTGGACTCGATTCGGTGTGAATATATACACATTACATAAATAACAATGTTTGTAATGAGCGAACAATCATTGATTTCAAGTTGTCAATCCATGATAGCTGAATCCTCTTTTCTACATGTACATGATCTGAAATTGGAAACACTGAAATATTTAAGATATATTTTCATCAATTACAAATTTCTTCTTAACCGTTGAAATTCTAATACGAGTGATTATTTTATGTTCTTTTTTTTTTCAAAGCGACAGTTATTTGCATTTCAAGCATATATAAATTTAAAAAAATATATTAAAAGTCTTCATATACCAGGGGGTATATATTTATATGCCCCCCTTCGAAGAAGGGAGGGCATATTGCTTTGCTGCTGTCTGTTGGTCGGTCGGTCTGTCGGTCCATTTAGTTTCCGTTCATTTTCTTCTCAACCGTTGCATATACTGAAATGATATTTGGTATACAGATTTACCAGCTGAATATCTAGGTCAATTTCTGTTTTGGGTACGATCGCGCTTTTTTGACAGTTATGCCCCTTGGACTTAGAAAAATTCAAATAATTTGCAGTTGTCGTTAATTTCCTTCACAGAGGTTGCACATAATTGAAATGAAATTTGGTATAAAGATTTATAAGCTGTATATCTAGGTCAAGTTCTGTTTTGGGTACAATCGCACCATTATTGTCAGAGTTATGCCCCTTGAACCTAGAAAAATTCCAATTACTAGTATTTGCACTTTCCTTCATTTTCTTCGCAAGAGGTTGCACGTAATTGAAATAAAATTTGGTATATAGATTTATAAGCTGAATATCTAGGTCAAGTTCTGTTTTGCGCCATTTTTGATAGAGTTATACCCCTTGGACTTGGAAAAATTCCAATTTTGGGGATGGGCATTAGTGTTTTACAAACATCTCTTGGTAAAAATTATTTTTGAATTTCTCTATCAACAGTTTTGGTCCCACTGATATTGCAATCATATGATCACAAATAAACAAATTCATTTTATATCATATATGAATTACTAGTATAAGGATCTTTTTACAAACGCCAAATACACATGTAAACACCGTATAGTTGATCATTCAACAAACAATTGTTCAATTTTAAAATATACATCTTCAGTTTCTTCACCTGAAACTTTTAAATCCACCGCATACAATACATTATCAAAACGCTAAGGGAGATTTTTATTTAATATTTCTATATGAATTGCTATATTTTCATATCCAATCTTTAGTGTTAGTTTTGATGTGGTCCTACCCACAGTGGTCAGTGTAAGAATAAACTGAGTCCAGTATGCACCAGTACAAACAAAATTTAGCAAGAGTTTTAGTAACATCAAAATCACACAAGATGTTTCGCAAGGCGTTGGTACTACATAGCGTCTGACTGACTATTCATATGTCGCAAAGAGGTTATTTTTACTTGAAATAAAAAATTAGCTCGAGATTAATAACATTTTCCTGGATAATAAATTATTCTAAGAAATCTCTTTTTAATAATCTAAAAATATTTTTACCATGATAGGACTCTTTATTCATTATTAGTCATTATGGCAAAATTCCCGAGTCCGACGTTGCATAAATTATTGTTACAGCAACTACAAGATTTGAAAAAATGCACTTTCAATCCTCTGAATTATATTAAATTCAGGGGATACAATAATATCTATGCATTCTTTGTGATTTTTTTTTGATGTTCATATCATTTTCTCAATTTCATGAGTTAGAGCTGAATCTAAAATGCATAAGTAAAATGTCCAATAAAAAAACCCTTTCCTAGTGTTGACATTAGCCGAAATGGTGATGTGTACCAGACATAAATTCCAGACCAAGATAAATTTCGGTGGAATTTCCTATTAAATTACCTTTTCAACGTAAATATTAGTGAGGCTTTCTCAAGTATAGCCATTTTGTAAAACGCATCGCAATATCTTAAGGCATATTTATTATGATCTATTTATTTATGAAGAGTCGTACTTCATGTACCCCATAAATTCACCAAAATTAAATGCTGCCTTATATGTACATTATATTTCTGATGACTGGCCACATTGTATTAATCATTCAACGAACATTAAATTGAAAAAAAAGTTTGCACTATTTTTGACTTCCATTACGTCACTCAAAAAATATTCATACTTATCCAGGACGATTTCCAAATATGGAAGTCAAGAACGATATCTGAAAGTTGCTATAAATATACATAATGTACACGTAATTATTTTTCTGTCCAAAACAGGCAACAGCATTTTTCCACACTCCAAAACATATTTTAAAAGAATAACTAGATGCTGTCATGAGACAGTAATACCCGCACTAAGGTGTTTTCCTCTATATACACTGTCCTTCGTATTGGGCTTTCCAAGGAAAAAGTCAAAATAATTTTATAATTTCATGTATTCGTCAAATTGAGCATAAAATTCTCAGGTGACCATATGACATATGAGCCTCTTATAATTATGTATTTTATGTGCTTAATAAATTACCGTATAAGTAGAATTTTTAGCGTGGATTTAACTTTTGCATTATTAGCGAGGGTGCTGAGATTGCTAAAATTGAATATTGCTAAAAATGATTGCGTTTTAATTGTAATAGTTTGTTAAGTGAGCATTTGAAAATCGCTAAAATTACTTCTCGCTAAAATTAAAATACCAGTTTTTAGGGACAAATCGCTAAATTTGTGTTTCACTAAAATTATTACCAGTCTGAAAAAAAAAATAGAATTTAATAATGAAGTATAAAACATCGTTTATGAAAATTAAAATTTGTTCTTGTACTATACATGTTTCCATGTAAACACCTTTTTGAATATTTCTACATTACATTGGGTTGTGTCACCCATTATCATAATTTTAGATTAAGCACCACTCGGCACACCTCAGCTGATTCCCACTTCATCTGATAAGGCGACGGAATCAGCCAAGATTTGCCGAATGGGATAGCACATGCTGATGGTGCAGTTTGGTTTGTATCAGTTGAAATAATTCATTTTGTGTTTTAATTGGATTATATTTCATGAAGTTGAGAGGACCTATGACAGTCGGTAAGTACAAGTTTAAGTATAGATTGGGGTAAAATAAACCGAAATGCAAATGATTAGGTTAAAGTTCAAAAAGGGTCAAAGATCACTCAAGACGAATTTTACATTGTGAAATTATCTCCCGTTGTCGACGTGACATTAAGTGCAGACCCATATTTTTTTTTTCGGGAGGGGGGTTTACACCTCAGTCAAAAAAATTAAATTCCAGCCCAAACAATTATAAAAAAAAAAACAAATAAACAAACTTAAAACAATGGTAGTGGGGTCCATGTTTTCTAAGGGGGAGGATGTCCAAAATGATTTTATTAGCTTCAGTATATAGTCCTATTTAAATAACAAAGCAAATTCCAAGGGATCAAATCTCCCTAGCCATTCCCTGTCCATGAAATTACAAATGATATTGTTGTGTCTCCAAAATTAATAGAATTAGTAGAATTTTTTTCCATTTGACTATATACATACTTTATATGGCTTCCACATTTCATAGGTTATTTCCTTGTGACAAGACCTTTTATTTGGGTACCACCAATTTTGACCTCTTGATCTCTTGACCTTGGAGTTTTACCCATTTTTACAAGAAAAATACCTAATTTTAAACTTGGCCTAAATTTTGAACAGTTGGTTCTAGGGCTTTCATGCTTAACATGTGTATGCACTGTGAAATTTCAACAGGTATAAATATTTTTTGACCTTCACCCTAGAGTTTGACCCACTTATAAAAACTTTAACCTTAGCAATAACTTTTGAACAGGAAGTACTAGGGATTTCTTATTTCACATGTGTATTCCTTGTGACAAGACTTTTCTTCTTTTGATAACAATTTGAACCCTTGGCACCATATCTGTTTCTTCTTTGTGCAGAAATTCTTGCAATTATGATTAAACAAAATCAAAGCATTAAAAGAATTATTATTAACAACACAGAACATATAAAATATCCCAATATGCAGATGATACCTGGCTTGCCCTTGGCGGTTCACCTAAATCACTTTTTGCAGCATTAGATACAATTGATTTTTTTCTCAAAGTTTACAGGACTTAAAATTAACAGCAGAAAAACTAAAATTGTTTGAATTGGTTAAAAAAATTTCTCTAATTCAAGTTTTTCATCATTCTCGAAAACTTGAATGGGGTTGTACAACTTTCAATTTACTATAGGATTAAACGTTCTTTTTTCAGAATTTATCGATGTGTAAACTCTGCCTTTTTACTCACAAACTAAATAAAAGTGCGAAGCACTTTTATGTCAAGTTTGTGAGTAAAAAGGCAGAGTTTACACATCGATAAATTCTGAAAAAAGAACGTTTAATTCTATGAAGCACTTTTATGTCAAGTTTGTGAGTAAAAAGGCAGAGTTTACACATCGATAAATTCTGAAAAAAGAACGTTTAATCCTTATAATTCCAATTGCGAATTTTTTAAATTATTAAAATTATTTCCCTTTGAGGCCACCATACAATCCGTTATTCTGTACGGCGTAGGAATACTTTATGCCGCAAAGATACGTATACAAGATGAATATCGATGAAATCCAACTTAAATTGTCAAAACAATCAATAAATAAACTTATAAAAATCACTGAATGTTGTTTAAGTCAACAAATATCGTAAAAACACTATTCTCCAGAATAATTCGTCCTTGACCATGGGCATGTTGACATTAACAACAACGTCATAACGAAAGTTGCAGACCGACGACGTCCTCGATTTGCTCTGGTTCGTTCAAAATTTTAGGGAGAATATGGGATCTGTAGGATGTAAACACATGAATTTGTTGCTAGAAAGGCAAGAGTCTGAGGTACGTTTCTTTTCCCTATCACAGCGAAACCAACTGAGACGATATGGAACGTCGAGAAAATGACAGCATGATCAGCGATTTTTTAAAATCCACATTCGTGATCCGACAGTGACATAAACATAATACTCCCGTCTGTCAGTCCTGTTTATCTCCTTTTCATTCATTCATTCATTCATTTTTCATTTCAAGTTTCTTGTAATCATAACTTAGCTAAAACGGACTAGAAGTATCTGTTTTCATCGTTTTCACAACGTACAGTCAAGAAAGTAGTTCTGATTGAAGAATTCATCG